CCTCCCTCTAGCACGCACACACAGACATGTGACACAGTTATCCCAGCTGATCCTCATATTGCTTCCGGAAACAGTCACCAGCCGGGAAGAAATCCCAACAGCGCTCTTGGTACATCTTCCATACGTAAGACTCCTGCCATGATAGAAACAGAGACATGTTATTACTGTCATGCCTGTTGGTATTATTCACCTGCACTTCAAACACATGCTATTAGTGCCATTTTTAAAATAGAAAATATGAGAGAGAGAGAGAGAGAGAGAGAGAGAGAGAGAGAATTGGAAGCAGGATGCAAATGGATAAATAAATAAATAAAAAAGTTAATAAAACCTTTAGCGCATGGAAACCTTGACCAACATGGATAATGAAGAACTCAACAGAACATCAGGCCAAGAAAAACATACACTGCCAGCCTGACAGCATGGCCATCTTTACCAATTCACTGGGAACTATGGGGCCAGACAGAAGTGCGTTACTGACCGGCGTGGAGCAGTACTGACCTGTCCAGTGTGCTCTGTTTCGTCTTTGTTGATTAAATACATGAGGAAGAACCTGCAGAGAAAAAAAGAACAATGAAAACACAGCGTAGAAAATAATATGACAACACAATGACATTACAATTATAATTTCATTGGAAACGTCATGTGAAGGTGTGAGGTAGAGCGGGGGGAGGTCAGGTGACTAGAGTTAGCCCACTGGATAAGTCCTACCACCCAGGTAACCTCGACCAGTCTCAACAACCTTTTCCCCATTACATTAGGACTGGGTTTCTCGGTAAAATGAAGTCTGTTTTCTATACTTTACTTTGCTCATTATTAAACACATACCTGCCCCATGTCATACATGAAAAGAAAAAACCCCACCCTGAATAAACAAAGACTCCCTGCCCAGTGGCCCGTGTCAGGTGGTTCTGCCTACATTCCAGATCAGTCATTCCAGCAGTGACCCATGATTGGCCAAGTTCTGGTCTCTTATTGGTGCAGGGAAGGAAGGTGTTCAACACACAAAAGTACTGACACACCAAAAGGGGACAAAAGTCTGAAAGCAGGACTGAGTCATGCAGATATACTCGCTAGTGACTGCCCCAATCAGCCTTCTGATTGGATGCTCATACTCACATGTAATTGGCCAAGTTGTGCTCTTCAAGGGTGTGCGTCTCAAAGCCATGTGGTGTCGTGTCAAAGTAGTCACTCCCAATTCCACAGATGAAGCACTTAGTCTGAGTTAGCAAGTGCAGGTAAACAAACAGGAAGGAACAAATTAATGGGTAGATCTCAAGCTCATGTGGAAGGTAACAAACTGTGTGACAGGTTAAATATGTGCTTTAGCATGAGACTGACAAATGAGATTGAGAAGCAAAGATAGGATGAAGATGCTGAAAGTCAAGTCAAGATGCCATGTGGGGAGAACCTACCTCCATATCCTCTCTGACCTGTTCCTGCTGATCTCTCAGCTCGCCAAAGGCATCAATGATGAGACCTGTGATGCCACAACAGTCAACTATTCACAGCTGCTCCAAGGACAGCAATTCAGATTCATAGCTGCAGCTTCTAGATCTTCACTGCGTCTTAAACACCACAGTTTCCCATACCCTGATTAAGTAATCCAAAAACTTGTTCTAGTAGACATTTCTGAAAATTCCCCATACCCTGGATGATGGCCAGAAGGATGACGATGACGAAGAAGAAGAAGGTGATGTCAAAGACCACACGGTAGAGCTCATACTCATCTCCCGCGGGGTCCTCGATCTCATCTCCTATGCCTCCACCAGCGCGCACCCCAACATACATGTGGAACAGGTAGCACTAAATGACAGGAAGCAAAAGGATGTGTTATGATCCAAAAAGCAGCATAATAGACTGAGATAAAGAAGATGTACAGAGGGACATAAAGCCTTCTAATTATTAATACTGCTGTCTAATTTATTTGTATAGTTCTGCAGATTCACTTCAGCTCATTGTCCATGGAGAGATCAATCCACTTCTGCTTACTGTCATCATGTCATCACACTTCATGTCTGGCTCGTCCTCGTCCTCACTCATATTGTAGAATTTGCGGAAGAAGTTGAAGGCCACCACAGTGTAGAGGTAGACTACGACCGCTAGCAGGCCCACTGTCATCACCAACTGGCAAAGAGACGGAAGGCCAGTTATGGGTGGATCGCAGGCTCAAGACAACTACTCTGCAAGGATTGTTTTGAATTCAGGATCAGCGGACTACAGGGTGTCTGACTTAATGAAAGGGAACTTCTTAATTCAAATTTTGAAACAATGGATCTATGCATGAGATCTGGGTTGTATTTAGAGACGTGTTGGAATGTTATGAATAGTGTATGGGCTGTCATATACAGGTTTCGCTATACCTGTTTGCCATTGTGGGTGACAGAGGACAGGATGGTACGCAGGGTCTTGACCCCCATGGCAATGTCCAGCAGGTGACAAGCAAAGAAGAAGTTGTTGTAATGTCCTAGCAAAGACATCACAAGGTACCACACCAGGTACAAGAAGGTCTGAAAGAAGGACGAGAAGAGAGATACACAGATTCAATACAACATGAACATGTTTGACATACAGTATGACTATGGATATGTAAGGTGGACCAGGTTCGCTCACGTTGTCTGTGAACACTACTCCCAACTTCCAGATCTGGTACTTCACGTCAATGGATGTGATCCTAAGAAAATAGAAACTGGGTTTTTAGCAAACTTCAAGTTTTTTTCTTCATAATTTCTCAATAGAGCCCCAAAGTACTGTACATGTGGCAGTTTACATCAGAGTTATTTACTGATGCAGGCTGATCTCCTTTCTGTTCCCCTCTGAGTGACCTTTGCTACACTAAAAGAGGCCCACAGGCAAAAACGAAGGCCAGCAATAAAACATGGGATGTTTCTCAATACCAAGAACGCGAAGATCGTACTTTTGGTATTAGCCATAATGGTCTTGCTAACGAGCCCCCCGAGAACAAACTTGGAACACAAAGAATCATGGGATTGTTTTCGTTGGCAAGGATGCAACCAATGCATCCTCGATATTGGGTTCAGGGCAAGCTCGATATTCGGGGATTTTTACCAACCTCTGTACTTCTGTTCTTAGTATTGGAACAGGTCTTTGACAATGGAAGATGAGGTAAAAAGAGTACGCGAGAACGTAAGTACGGTCAAGAATGCGTATTGAGAAACACCCACGGACAGGCCAAAGCTTGTTTGCTTCAGTGCACACACAGGGAGCCATTACCATGTAAACAAAGAGGTGTCAGGTGCGGGCTTCTTCTCCCTCTGCTGGGTGCTCACATCCAAAGAGGCCAGGTCCATGCCAAGCAGCTCTGCTATCCTCTCCCGGCCATAGATGTCACCATACTTCTCCAGGACCTGGACACACGGTAACATCAGTATAGCGACAGGCCCCTCACGCAAACAGGCTATGCTGAAAATGGTTTCTCACCTTTCTCTTGACAAACTTGTCCCAGTAGTTATTTGGGAAGCTCCTGTACATAAAATACACATTTCACTGAAGTCTTATGTCTTTCAGCACAATGATAAAAACCCTTTAAATGTCACTATATGTGACAGCACCCAATGAATCACATCCCCATTGTCTGTAACACTCAGAGTTGACTTTTATACTTTGGTGTTGCACAGCTATAGTGTGTTCACTTACGGTGTGTTGAGGACCAGTCGATCCCATTGTCCCTTGATGTCATCATCCTCAGGTTGCTCGGTGACATAAACACCGTCAAACTCCAGCTTTCGTGCCAGCTCCTTCTCTCTCTTGAAGATGACCAAGGGGACCTGATGGACGACCACAGATCAACAGCACATCAATGCTGGCATTGACATGTCAACTTCCAACACATGACCTGTGACACCACAAAAAAACATGTAGCAAATGAACCTGCCTTAAGGCAGTTGTAGCCAATGATGCAAAGGAAGGAGATGATGCTATGGATGACGGCAAGTAAAGTCATGGCTGGTTCCATGTAGCCAGTACTCTCTTCTAGGATGTAGTACACCAGTCCATCTTCCTCATCCTCATCCCCTCCATCATCCTCCATTCCAGAACCCTCAGGCTCAGCCCCAGAACCTTCAAACATCCCTGAGCCCTCATACTCTTCCATACCTGGGGGGCTGTCCGACACCTGGGCAAGAATGGAACATAATTAAACTCATTGCAGAGGTACCAGAAGGATTACTACCAGTGGTGGAATTTTAGGTCCACAAAATAAAAATCCAGACCAAGATTTTGTTTCAACCAGCCAGTTTAAAAAGTCATTGTCACAGTACTCAGCTGGTTGGTTGAAACAAAATCTTTCACTTTCTGGACCTGAAATTTTCACTACTGATTATTATACCCCAGAGAGTTATCATATTGTCAATTTTCAAAAATCAAACATATTTCTAAAAACTCTTCAAAGAAATAGAATCAGCACAGACAGCCTCAGACCGTGAGTACCTTGTAGAAGAGCAGGATGAAGTTCAGAGCAAAAGCAATGAAAAGAGCCAGGAAACGTAGGTTATAAAAGTTACGGGACAGGTAGTTCTGCAGAAGAACAAGAAAAAGAAACATGTAACAGCTTTGTAGGAACCTGCTGAATTGTATTACTCTTAGTTTGACCAGAATTTAATGGTGCACTGTGGATAATCTTAGATTCTACTGCTAATCCTAATCCCCCAAGATACCAGGGATACTACTTTTTTCCTAACCATGAATTTATTCCTCTGGATGTCCAGTTCATTCCAGAGCTCAAAGCCTTGCTCTCCCGCTGATCTCTTGTCCTTCTTGGCTTTGACCTTCACTGTCTCTTCCTTTATCTCTTCTGGTGATTCACCCATTGCTTCAGGCTCAGCTTCTGCCTCCTTTTCTGCCTTTTCTCCATTTTCGGCACTGAAAAGAAATAAATATAGACATGAACCGATGTAGAGAAACATAATTAAAGAGGAAAGGAGGAAGTGAGATGCAGAGGTTCTCACTCAGCCTTCTCGGGTTCTGCAGATGGTTCCTCTATGACCTCAGGCTCAGCTTCATCTTCCTCAGAACCCAACTGCAACAGTGTGGAACAGGTGGAGCACAGTCAACGAGGAGCGTTGCAAAAAAGTACAAGGCACACAGTGGGTCAGTTTTCAATAAAGATCTGATAGCTGGGACAAGAATGAAGTTGCGCCATGAAACAATGCCTTGATAACATTGAGACATGAAGCATTACTAATGCTGCCATCATGGACACAATGGCAGGGTCCTCCCCCACAAAATTGTTAACAGATTCACACAGTTTAATGGAATGGCAACCTCACCACTTTCCTCTTGGTTATGGGTGAGCCTTCTGGGGTAGGTGGCTCAGCTGGAGTGGTATCACCTATGTCGCCCAGCCCTCCAGGTATGTCTATACCAGGTATCCGGCCACCTTCCTGTTCCTTGGAGTCTGGCTCTTCCTCTTCTCCACCACCACCTTCCATCAGGTCAGCTGCTCCGCCCGCTTCCTGCACCACCCCTGCTGCTGGATCTGCTGGTAGGTCTCCATGAACCTCATCCTGTGTGGGATCTGGCATGCTAGCCAGGATCTCAGTCACAGTAATTTTCTTAGCCCCTTCCACTAGACTACCACCAAACAGTGTGTGCCAAATGAGCAAGAAGAAGCCTCTGCAGATGCTGTAGATGAAGTGCAGGATTCCCATAAGGATGGTCCAGAAGAAGGTAGCAAGCCCAACCACTATGTCCTTCACGGTCATTTTCCTCACTCTGCGATACTGTCGCCGCAGGTTGCGGAAGGTGAACTTTCCAAAGAAATTGAACACGCCATTGATGAAATCCGCGAAGGCTGAGGTTGACTCTGAAGCTGCTTCTCCATTTTCTCCCTCTTCACTGCCACCCTCCGCACTACCCTCATCCTCATCTTCATCCTCCTTCTCCCCTTCCTCTGGCTCAGAAATCTGTGCAGCAATATTCATTTCAAAAATAGTGTCCTCACAGAAGTTGACAAAAAGTTCCATTTTTTCAGATTCGCCGCCCTCATTCACTACATCGAAGATGAACTGTCGCTTAGACTCTCTGACCTGGGGCATCTCCCACTGATTGCGGTTGACTTCGCTGATCTCAAAGTAGATACGCTCTATTCTCTTGCTGGCACCCATTATCTCAATACGGCCTAGGAAGGGGCGGAAGTAATTGAGAACACTCTCTGCCTGCTCAAGGAAGTTCTGCAGCCGCGTATCATGTGGAACATGTTCTGACAAGTTTGTGAGCAGCACTGCAATGTTGAACCCAATATCTTTAGCGGGCTCCTGGAAGCGGTCTGCAAACTCTTCAAAGTTGATCATCTCATTTTCATCGGCTTCCGAGCAGGACAGCAGAAACTGGATCTCTGAGGGCGAGTACTGCTTCTGGCTATCCATAGCCTTCTGGAAGTCCTTCTTGGAGATCAGGCCACGGGGGTCCGTCACATAGTCACGGAATGCATCTGAGGCCACAATGTCCTTGAGCTTGAGGAACATGTCAAAGAACTTGAGAATCATCTCCACATTACTGGAGGACTCCACCAGCATGTCTACCATCTGGCGGGCGATGGTTCCGTTCACAACGTTACCTGGGAGCCAGAGGTGGGGAGAAATGATTAGAGATTATAAGAAAGAGAAGCTGCATGAATACCACAAAGATATGTCTTGTTGAGTAACAAGAAACCACTTACCCTCCAAAAGAGACAGAAGCATAACGACCATGTCTTTCTGGAGGTCCAGCAGTTCTTTAAGCAGACCAATCTGACGCGAGTCCTGTCATATGTAAGGATCACAAATATAAAAGATGCCCAAATATTTTGTGAGCAACATTAAAGGACAATAACATTATCTTTGAGGAAGAAAAAGCATTTATACAGAACGTACTCAAACCCCAGCCCCCAAATCACACAGACAATATCACTTCTGGAATGTTGCATGGGAACTATATAACGGTTTCAGTATTACATTACTTTGGAAAACAGAATTTTATTAGTTTTTCAATATTCTAAGTTCTATAAAGTAAAACGACATTACAGACGCTCCTCTACTTACGAACGAGTTACGTTCTGAACGGCCGTTCGTAACTTGAAATGTTCGTAAGTCATTATTCAACATAATTTTAAGGGTATACGCAAGTACCAAGAACTAGGATGCTGGGAGTATGCACGTTATGCTGATGCGCAGTGGGAATCGCGGCCAGAAGTCGTACTAGTCGGAATTGGCGCACAGGAAAAAAAAATTGATGTTGCGGACAGGAAACGGGAGCCAACAAATGAACACAATTTGGACTTACAGTCCTCTTCATTTGTATGTCTGAAAGTTCGTAAGTTGAAAGTTAGTAAGTAGAGGAGCGTCTGTATATGTTCATGTTACAACATAGAAACAGAAACGGATCAACACTGACTGGTGCTGAATGTTACTAACTGAAGCTTTTTTTTTTTTCAAACACTGCTGAGCAAATAGCAATATTTTGGTTTCATATGATCATTAGTAATTGAGAAAAAGTTGCTATATCGAGTGTCACTCAATAACTAACTAACTAAATAACTAATAAATTAACTGTGCGTATCGTTTAGGAACAAATTTATTAAAGTACCAGGAATGAGCCACCTGTTTTTGGGTCCTGACAGAGCTCTGTGTCTAGGCACCATAGTAGTGAGGAGGATGGGCGAATCATTTTCCTTAACTTCAAGTCACCTTACCTCTGAATGTTTTCGACTCCAGAAAAGATCCTGGGATTGCATGTCAGCAACACAAACGCACGTTCAGTGTTAAATGAAGGGATTACAAAGGCAGGGGAGGCACATGTGGGAAGGAGCAGAGAGGCACTGAGAGCAGAGGCTGCTCTCTCCTCCCACCTAGTGGCTCCTATGGGCATTGCCCTTTCAGTGAGACCTTCAAACGCACAATAGATAAACGCTGGCTTACACTCACAAAGGGGGTTACTACACGTGAGCCTTGCACCAATAGCACAGTGGTTGCTCTGGGCAATGAGCGACCACAGCCAGAGCCATTAGACAGTGGGCACGTGACAGAACTGCAGAAGCAGGACCATGACACAAAGAAGCTGCCGATCAAAGCAAGGTTTAGCCCCACCCACTGCCTCTACTGTCAGAACACATAGTGGTATGGACCAATTGGTAACCATGGTGATTTCCAGCCAATCAAAAACAGTCAAATCCATTTTAAAAACAACATTTTAGAGTACATATTGTCTGACAGCTTCTGTTTAAAGGGGCTTTAGGGTGGATAAGCAAATCATAAAAGACGTCCAGTCAAAATGGTGCTGCAAAGATGAAGCAACAATGGTGATAGCAGTTTCTTCACACAAAGGATCCATCTTTTGTATATAGCCTTTCTTAGTGCCCAATACCCAACGTATCTATAATGGACATCACCTTTTTCATCCAATTGATTTACATCATGTTTTTAAAAAGCTTTGTGTTTAGCCAGTTATACAATTTAGCAAGTATCTGCTTTGCTGCTGCATTTTCAGTTACTTTTCTCTATTTTTCTTCTCACTCCGCATTGTCAATAGAATTCAGAATTGTTCTAGATTTAATTAAAGAAGGGAATGAAAAGCATTGTGGGAAAAACTGAATAAAACTGCAGAAAGTCTGAATGAAATGTCACAAGGAAAATATGGGAAAGAAAACTCGGAGGAGTTGAGTGAGGAGGTAATGGAGACAGACCAAGCAGAGGGGGGGAGATAAAGTGAGCGGGGGGGCGTGTGCGATAGGGCAGCTGGAAGAGACACAGAATCTTACTGCATTTCGGAGTCCAGGGTCAGGGTGCATCTGGCAGGGTCACATATCAAAATAAAAATGTTATCTAACAACATTTTTAATTCATTTTTGTATTTTGCATATCTCTCCACAACCCAAAAAATTTCCCCCGTCGCTTCTGAAGCTGCTGTGCATCTCTCTGGGTCCTGTTTACTTTCCACGCGTCTGCCAAGCATACACAATGATCATTAATCGCAGCAGACTGATGAGAAAGCCAGCTGGACTAAGACCAGAAAAAGGAAACAAACAAAACAAAACACTAGAGTCAGCTCTGCCCCACTGTTCTCAGATACGTGTCCTTTCAATGCGTAACTAAATGTACAGGAGGATAGTGAATGACTCAGGGGAGTGACTGGGGGTGCGGTGAGTAGGACCAGGGCCTGGAGATCACATCGCCTGTCACTGAGCTTGTGTCTGTCTGCACAGCAGCTCCATAACGCCCATTCAAATCAAATCACTATGTCACATCAGTTGACACTTGATAAGGAGAAACTTGGGAGCAAGGTCCCCCCCACAACAGCAGCGACGAAGTGCAAATAAAACAATAGCACGAACAGGAAGCATACAAAAATGCTAAGATTGGCTAGTGGACGTCTATGCAAGCCTGAACTTTTATGAAAATAAACCAATCTCTGGTGACATCGAAAGACTTGAGGAGTAATTCTATTGGGTGGTCAGGTCGGACAGCAGTGCTCGTCTCTCATGGCAACGTGACTTTCGCTGCTGAGTGAGAATTCCCCATGGTTCTAATGAAAGTCAGGCCAAATTCTGCCTCAAACACGAGAGATTTCCTCAGGGAGACACAAAAATGCATTTAAACATCGAGAACACGCTGGGACCAGTCAAACACACATTGAGAGCCACACATAGCCTAACACAGCAGGTAATATGCTACATGTGTGCAAAGGAAAGCACATAACCTTAAATACATGTGAAGTAAAGGCACACTGATTCTGGATCAGTTACTGTACCAGGGAAAGTCCAGCAAACATTCAGTATGGAAATAGATATTAGGATTGAATTACGTTTTCTATTCCTGTACCCAGTTTACTGACCAGCAGACGGAGATGAGATATGGAGGAAGGGACACAGCAGGAAGTAAATACAGACTCTGTGTGACACACAACAGCTGTAGGAAATTTTACACTTCTTTTAAACTAGGGGTGTCAAACTCCAGTCCTGGGGGGCCGGAGCCCTGTGTAGCTTAGTTCTTTCCCTTTTCCACCACAAATGATTCAGCTCAAGAGCTGTGTGGTAATTAGCACAAGAAGGTGTAAGAAGTTGAATCAGGTGTGTTAAACGAGGGGAAACCCAAAATGTGTAGGGCTCCAGCCCCCCAGGACTGGAGTTTGACACCCCTGCTTTAAACACTCGTTCAATTCAAGAGAAATTCAAATTAACTTTTGTGTTATAATAATTTTTAAATTAAATTTAAAAATTACTAAGTATAGTTGTGTGCACAAGTGTGTGTGTGTGTGTGTCTGTGTGGCTCAGGTATACGTTACATTGTAGGAACCAAATGTCCCCACAATACGATAAAAACCTGTTATTCTGACATAATGGGGATCGTTTTTTCAGTCCTCACAAGGGGAAATCCAATCTTATAAAAATCTGTGACTGCAATCAAAAAACTAAAAATGCCAAGAGTCTTGTATTTTATTTGGTTACTTGTGGTTAAGGTTAGGACTGGGTAGCAGTTAAGGTTCGTCATTGTTGAAATTAGGGATTTTCCCATAGAAATGAATGGAGCATCCCCACAAAGATATCAACAGAAGTGTCTGTGTGTCTGTCTGTCTGTGTGTCCATCCAGAGAATGTGTGGAGAAAAGGCAGAAGCCCCTACCTGGGCCAGTTTCATCATCATATGGGCAAAGACGTGCAGGAATCCCACTACAGCATCCCACAGCCTGCTGTGTGCCAGGGACTGCTGGTTTCCAGTGCAGGGGCCCTACAACAGGGACAGTGTCAGTAAAGAGACAGGCAGGGGGGCAGTGGCTCAGGAACCCAGCGTGAAAAGCTTCATCGCCCACCTGGATGTACTCTGTCAAGCTGTTGAACACCTGTTTTGCCACCGTCATCGCTTTGGAGAAGTTCCTCTTGCCTGGCTCATCGATGACATCCTTCCCAGAGTAATACCAGTAGAAGTCGCTGATGGACTCCTGTAGGTAGGGAGATGGTACAACGTGACGGAGAAGAGGCACAGAGTGAGGCAACCAAGCTGTGCTGTGTCTGTTAGCTCACCTGAAGCCTGAGAAGATAGTCCACAGTGCAGATGATGATGTTGATGGTGGTTGTGCTGCCTGTCTGGGTCCGCAGGTAGTTCTGAAAATCTGCAGGTGATACAGGCACTACAGTCAGACCCTGACACTTCATGGTAGAGGTACAGTTGGACCCTGACTCACTGTGGTAGTTCTATAGTTGGACCCTGACTCACCAGGGAACAGGTACTGTTGGACCCTGCCTCACTGTGGTAGTGCTACAGTCGGACACTGACTCGCCATGGTAGAGGTACAGTCTGACTTTGCCTTGCTGTGGTGGTGCTACAGTCGGACACTGACTCGCCATGGTAGAGGTACAGTCTGACTTTGCCTTGCTGTGGTGGTGCTATGGTCAGACACTGACTTGCCATTGAAGAGGTACAGTCAGACCCTCCTTTGCTGTGGTGCTACAGTCGGACACTGAATCACCGTGGTAGAGGCATATTCGGACCCTGACTCATCATGGTAGAATTGTAGTTGTTCCCTGTCTTGCTGGTCATCCTAATGGTAACACCTAACTGACTAACATCACCCCTTGACTCACCATTATTATGACCTTCACAGAGCAGTTGCAGGAAGCGGAAGAGATCGCAGGTAAATTCATTGTCAGCCATGACCTTCTCATCTGAGCGGAGAGAGACAATCAAGAACATGTTAGGGGGTGGGGGGAAGCATATGTGAACAGGAATATGAAAAGGATTTGGCCCATAGTGAGGAGCACTGCAGAACAGTGCATGCTTGTGAGTGTCTTTGTGTGCAACAGTCAACTGTAAGTGAGCGCATTGCTGTTTCGAACATTGCGGTAAGGATTGCTAGCCATGTGCCTTCATGCATGTGCATCCAGTTGTGTTTTGAGGACCGGAGTAGCTGCTCACTGGACACACGAGCATGCGGGTACATGATCAGATCACTCTAAGCCCGTTTTGTCAGTTAGCACATTAGTAGGGACTGCAAAGAGCTTTAGGGGAACACAGCATTTCTGACTGTCTGCGCACATCAAAGCAAACTGCTGAACACAAGCCGGAAGACCCAGTGCAGGAGTTAATCTTCGGCTTTGGCTGGAGGTCCTCAAAGCAGCTGAAATGGAGGCTGACAGAACATGCGTAATGGCACACATCTGACAGAAAAGTACACACCACATCAATATGTGTATATTCATATATACACACCCAAAATATACACATATACTAACAAACCCATTACCGTGACCAGGATAAGCGCTTGGAAGGAGGACAGATAGATAAATGGACGGACACACACACACACGCACACACACAATCACATACAGCTGTGCTGGGTGGATCTACTGCACTCCAACTCCACATTTGTCAAGTGGGAGAAAACCGAGGACATCCCTTGACCAGCAGGGGGTGCTGTGGGATGGTGCATATGACGTGTCTGGGAGGAGCTTTCTAGTCTGGGCACAAGCTGCTGTGTGATCCTTGCAGGCCTGCTAAGCAGTGTTACCATGTTGATTTACACTGTGAGCAGCTGGACAGCACCCAGTACACAGAGTGATGTGATGCAGGTAGCTGACACTCATCTGGTCATTCAGACACGCCGATGGGAATGTTAGGCTCATATTTCTCTCAGTTATGACTGATCCTTTCAATATGTTACCATGCAGTGGAAAATCAGGAGATTTAATTTTTCAAGTTGTGTGGGGACAGCTTTACATGACTTGCTTCCAATACTGCAGAATAAATTAACACAATATAAAAATCAGGAAGGGGGGGCTTTAACTATAACACCAATATTAAATTAACTATAAATGTTCTCTATTTAATGAGATGCACAGCTGATGCAATTAATTTAAGCCTGTTTCACACATATCAAAAAGGCATTCAGTGGTACAATCAGTAAAATGACTCACACACCTTGATGTCTGAAATTACCAAAGCAATCTCTGAGATAGATAAGGTATTTAAAGATAGCAGAACCAGTAACAGCAACCAAAATCAATTAGATACAACACTTTTTAATCGACTGGCTATGAGGCTTCTGTAATTATGACTGATTATATTAAAAAGTTAAATGTAAGAAATGATTACAAATATACCATAATGCAAAAACATACAAATCGGCTTTAGTTAGTTATCCCTGGAGATTTTATGATCTGTTAAAGATGAAGAAAATTCTTTTTTCGGATGGGATTTGAACGGGGAGGTGGAAGTTGCACTCAGGATGTCCTCAAGTGCCAGGTACAAGCAGATATCTGGGTTTTTCATATATAAAAAAAAAAAAAAAAATTTTATTAAAACCTCATTGAGAGGGAAACCGTTTCAGTAATGCCCAGTTTTCAGAAGGGAGGCTTTTAAGTGATACCAAGACTGCAATTCATTTCTGCATGTACAGAGAGAGTCACTGACCACTGATGAGGGAAAAAGGACAATCAATGTCGGTTGACTGTCATTTTTTCCCTTCCAGTCAGCAACTAGGATCTGAGCGCTGGAGTGACAGTAGATCTGTAACAAAGCACTCAAGCAGCAAAAATGGGGAAAGGGCGACCTTTCTGGCACTAACGAAATTGCTTCACAATTCGTGATTAAAAAGTAAATGCATATTAACAGGAGAACCAGTAAAGAAGTTCCACAATGACTCAATCACAATTTCCTGTCATCGAGAGACAAGCTTCCTCCCCAAATTTTGCTCCTTGAATGCGAAATGAAATGCAGACTTTCACAGCACAAGAAATTACAATAAACGATTAATAAGAGAGACGGATATGTAGACAGAGACAGAGGGATGTGGGGGGGGGCAGAGACAGAATGGAGGCCAGTATTTACCGCGTTCTAGCTTTACGTCTGAGAACCGGGACAGGAGGTGGAAGCGTGAGGGTGTGGGGGCCAAATTCATATCGAGGGACAGAAAGACGGAGAGAGAGAGAGGGAAAGAGAGAGAGAGAGAGAGAGAGAGAGAGAGAGAGAGAGCGGGGCAATGAGTCCCGGAGCAGTGGCAGCACAGGCCTTGACAAGCTGCACCTAAACGTCCGCTGCCGCTGGTGGCCACTCGCCGAGCGCAACGCTACCGTTCTATCACCAGACCACTGCCATGTTTGACGACGTTTCCTTTATAAAAAAACGTCAGGATTAAAGGCACCAGGGACTCCGCGGCAAGCTTCTCGGTGGACGTGAAATTTACGAATTCATACAAAAATTCTGCAGAAAGAGACAAGAAATGCAAAGGCTGAGAGGATTCCATCAGTCGGAAAATCAAATGACCTTTGACCCCTTTCCCAAAGTCGGTGGTGAGTTCTGCAATTACAATGACAGCATTCAGCATCCAATACAATACAATCTACAGACACAGCTTCTTCAGCTAATTGAAAGGAATATCATGTCGATGGCTGTGAGTGTAAACCCCCCCCCCCACCCCAATACCCCCCTCTCATCTTTGCCTGTCTACATTACCCCAAAATCACAGGGGGCATCAAACATTTACCCCACTATAAATGAATGTGTTCCATTGACAGAACTAGAATTCAGGCATAAATTATGTGAGCTCCTCCCTACTGGGTGCACTGGGAAAAGAATGAGGCTTTAAACCACTGATTGGAGCAGGATTACCATATCAATCTTTGACTCATTTGTCATGCTGCATTGGCTCCAATTTGGCGATTGGTGCTGTCAGTGATTGACGGTACATGGTAATTCCACACACTTAGGGGTTCAGAGGTCTCATCCTTCCCATCGGTACCGCTGTAAGCTTGGCAATTGCTCCAGCATAACCCAGCACCAGCACGCTGACCTGGAGTAAGTAACTTGACAGGGTCCTTTATGCAGTTTAGGTGAGCATGGTGAAGGGTGTGGGGGGGGGGGAAGTTCCTCACTTACTTGAGCCCTCCTCAGACACCATGCCCAGCCCCTCTGCCTTGTTCTGTCTTTCAAAGGCGTTCAGGTCCAGGACACTGCCAACAGGGGGGGGTAATCTTCACCATTGATTTTACATAATGGATTTTTTTTAATTTTCAGCTTTTTTGTTAAGCTGACCTGCAGGTCTGCATCAGTGCCTGGGCACTCAGGAAAAATCCCACATCCTTCTTGTCCTTCAAGTAGTCCAGCATTCTCTGTGGAGGGGGGGGGGGGAGGGGTAGGTTTTTAGAGCTGGCCATCTCATCAGCCTCAGTGGTCACTCTGGGTGAGAACATACACCCAAACCAGAAGCCAAAAAGGGTGCACCAACGAGAGTGCACTAGGAGCACCTACCTGCTGGACATCACTGTTGCCCCCATTCAAGATGGAGATGCCTAACTTCAGGGTGGAGGACACCATGGATCCTGGCTCACCTGAGGGTGGTGGGAAGTGCTGAAGTTACTGTATGGTTTGGGCTTTAGATCCACAACACGCACCACTCGTACATACAGTTGATGCATAGGACCATGCAGCAGGTCTTATGCACCGAGGGTATGTGCACTGTTATTCCGACAAGATACCTTTGCAGGCGCTGATCATCTGAAGGACCATCTCTGCCGCTCCACGGTTGTGCAGCCTGGACTGCTGGTATAAGAGCCTCTGCTTCTCCATCTCTTTCTCCTGTGGAGTGAGGGCAGCAGTCACTGTGTTCTCTGGACCCCCTACCCACACATAGATGGCTGCCCCTGTCACTTCCCAGTATTCGCTGCTTTGTCCCATCACTTGTTCCTCTCTCCTTCACACTCCCTGCAGATGTTTCTCAGATACCCGTTTCTCAGTCTGTCTGCCTCAGTCATGGAGTACTGATTCACATTTGGTTGTCCCTGTGCTCATCGTGCTGCAGGTATCTCAATGACACAGTGAACGCCAGTGTATGACCGCAGTGAGGAACATGCTTACTGCTCATTATTCTCCTAGTTTTTAAATGTCCTCTTTAGAAAATATATAAACCAATTAAAAATCAAATCAACAGATCAACCCAATCTCCACCCCATCAACAATCTCCACCCCCCACCCAGTCTATTTCCAGACTCCCCTCACCCATATTTCCATCCCCGATATCCCTCCACCATCTGAATTTTCCATACCTCAAAAGTCATCTCCTCACTGCCCTCTTCCTCTTCCCCTCCACCTTCCTCATCAATGTGGCAACTCTGGATGGAGACGCACACATGCGGTACGTTAACACCAGGTTACTCATAATGCTTTCAGCAACACCTTCAAAATTCAGGAAAGAAACCAATGCTTACCTTTGCCATAATGTCAGCATAAGCCATGTAGAGATAATCCACGTCAAGTTTCCTGTGGTTGACAAAAGACAAGGACGTTCAGTAGAAACGGTAACTAGACTTGACTGTATGCATATGAACAATCTTTACTTTCACTTTATATGGTTTTTATTTTTGGTTGAAATCGACTGTATGTGATAATGTAACTCACATCTTTTCGGTGAGAGCCGTGCGACTGAAGTGAAGGATGAGCTGGTGGAGGGGGTCCGGCTTTGCTTCAGGCTCCTCCTCCTCCTCTTCTACTTCCTCCATGACTTTCTGAAATTCAGAAAGAAGATCTCAAGATCTGACCAGGAGACGTCACGCTACACCTGCTACATGGGGGTGCGGGGAACCTACAGACAGGTCGTCTATCATTTTATCCTCAAACGAGTAGCCCTCATTCCCGATCCAGTTGCGCTTGTATGCATCAAGGAACATGTTGGATCCTCTGTGCCTGGAGAGTGAAGAACTTATCGTCATAGTGTGGAAGATCCACTTTTATAAGATATGTCAGCAATACAACTACCTGAGCAGCTGGGTTTGGGTTCACACTGTGTGTGTGTGTGTGTGACACACTCTGGGGTCTCACCTGGGGATATTGTACAGAGGCGTCATCCTGAAGCAGGCCACCACGGCACGGCGACGCTGTTTCGAGAGCAGCTTGTGCCATACCATCTTCTTAGACTTGAAGGGATGTTCTGTCTGCAAGGGAGAAAAAAATCTCTGTGATTAGGCCCCTTTGTGTGTATATGTGTGTGTGTTTATATAGCATTGTGGGGACCAAATGTATTTTGTTTGGTTACTTATGGCTAAGGTTAAGGCTCGGTAGTGGTTAAGACTGTCATTGTTGGGATTAGGGCTTTACTGATAGAAATGAATGGACGGCCCCCAATAAGATGTGGATACAAACGTGTGTGTGTGAGATGCCACTCACCACCTCGATGTGATACAGCACTGCAGACACCTCCTGCACCCTCTTCACCACCTTCTCAGGAGCCTCTGCGTCCTCAGCCTTGCCGGCACCCTCCTTGTACAGGGCCATCTGCCAGCGCATGGACGGGTCCTCCACCTGACCCCGAGAAATGCAGCAGGGGTCTCACATCTGCAGCCCGGCACGTGTAGGGGGGGGGACTGGAAGCTCGACCTCACACACAGCACAAAGGTACTTACCTTCCCCTGAAGATGGAGGTTGTTCTGAAGGAAGTCTCTCACCTCCTCATTTGTGTCTTTCTGTTAGAGACGAGGGAACAAGACAAGGAGTCAAGGAGAGTAATAGAACTTAATAGAACTAAATCAGTACAGCAGAGGAGTTCGATCAAGATTTAACGATTTCTCGGGGTGGTGGGGGGGGGAGTCTTCCCTCAAACACACAGTGAGGAAAGAGAAAAGTGCAGGAGAAAAACTGAACAAGTAAGGGAATGTGAGAGGTGATCAGCCATGAGTCATCCAGGACAGCAGAAGCACTGTACCAGAGAGTATCTAATTTTGGCCAGGTTAATGAGCTCCTGGTCCGCAGGCGAGCACATGTTGAGGCCGATGGGAAGGAGCTTCTTCACAGCAGCAACAATGAGCGATGTCTGCACCGAGTAACGGTCGCCCCGGCGCTTCTTCTTTGAACGCTCCACATCTGAGCCGCCCCCCTACGAACAAAGACGGTCAGTAGGTCACCCTTTGGAAAGGGACAGAGCCCAAGCAGAACCACCCATTAAAACCAGTGCAACAGCAATGGGAACAGTGCAACAGTCTGACAGGCATTTAACCAGTACTGACCCCAAAACTCAAGCATGATGCACTCTAAAAAAAAAAAAAAAAAAAAAAACACTCTAAGGATACAAAGGTCCAGCTCAGCCAGGAAAATCATGCTCTACTTGGGACCAGAAACTCCACAGTCCTGTGGTGACCCTGTGCTGCAAAGGCACTTACCTGGACAATGAAATGGCCTCATCGTACATGCAAATGACCCCTTGTGCCTGTTGCTTAAATCCTCAAACAACCACAACCAGACAAGCATGGCATTTTTCAGGAGTGGGTGAGCAAGAGAAGATGGCAAATCGAAGAAGTGATGCTCTATCACGCTTAATAGCGGGCATCCTATTCAAGGAACAGCATCTGTGTATATCTCCATGCTTCACTTAAAACTGGTTAGGTGGGCAAAGAACTCACTTTGCCTTGATAAAAGCTTTGATAGTGAGACCGTACAACTGCACCAATGTGAAAGGAATTCAAAAAAATTCCATGGTTAAAGACACCACTATAAAGGTACAGAGAGCAGCTGAAGACTACAGTAAACCACATGGAACTTCAATGTCAGAGCCACACAGTCTCGCCTGCATTTAGTTGAGAAGGTCCAGACAACAGCTTTGTCCTAACCATCCGCTTCCAGCAACAGCTCACGTCTGCAGACTCTCATCCGTCATGCCTGTGGCCTTTCAAACCCAGCCTGTCACCGTGGTCGCCCATTGCTGTCCATTATCTACTCTCCCTCAGTGCTTTCCCAGGTCAACCGTGTGTGATGCATCTGTCCTCAATTCACAACCACTAGGGGGAACTTTTCATTCTAGGAACACTTACCATGTGGAAACGTTCAAAGTATCCAGTTTTCCTGATGATCCCAGAAAGTTATCCCACTACTACAACTAAGAATAATGAAATAAAAGCAAACGGAAGGCATGATAGAACAGTGGCTAACACTGACTCTTTATGCTTCAAAGGTAATGAGTTCAAGCCTGGTTGTCTTCACAGTATCCACATATTGCAGTTATAGATATAAATATTTTATGATATGACAAATATTTTTCAACATTAATTGCGTTGAAAGGATGTTCAGGTAATAATGCTATTGTAGAACATGTTCTACCAAGGACCTTCACATAACATTGGCTAAAGTTCTGGGAATGTTCTCTCTTAGCTGGGATGGGACAAGAATGACTCAGAATGCGCAGTGAACTGGAGATCCAACAGTAACAGCTCGTTGTCAATAGGGGGTTTGATTTTAATCATGTACATCTATTGCTTGCGATCAAGAAACAAGAAGGGATTTGAAGAGGGCGGTTTTTTGAATGACATCAAATCATCTGTCACCTCTAACATTTTAATCGTTATGGTGGTAAAACAAAACAAAAAAGAGTCAACCATTACGTCAAAGTAAAGGCTGTGGAATCGATGTGTGGTTAGTTGAGGATTGGTTGAAAGGAAGATTCATGTTAGTGATCAAAACTTTGAGGTTGGTTCTTCCCTGTTTGCAAGAATCTTCTTTAATTACTACATTCCCCATAATCCATTGCCAAAATGGAACCACCCCCTTTCCATTTAATCTCACCCCACTCCACACTCATGAGCACATCCCATGTTAAAGGGAAAGGGAGGGGGATTATAGGGAATTTCCAAAGTTTTGATGCTGTTTAGACAATGTGGTTAGTGTGAGGATAGACGAACACTGGGCAGCGATACTGGAAACCAGTGTTCCCCATTGAGAAGGTATTAAAAGCTAGAAGTCCAATCAAATGCTTACAAAAAATAAACAAGGGAAAAAATTCAAGGGAGAAGATTCCCGACATGTGACACTCAACCGAAGGCAAACTCAAGCTGAGCATGGTGGAGGAGCGTAGCTGTAGCAGCAGCAGCACAGGGAGGCTGCCATGCATGCACGTTCCCCCAGCTGTCAGCTCCCAGTATCGGCCTGGAGCCAAGCGCCACCGGCCCTGTGTCTCCTGACGGCTCCTCCACACACTGGCCTGCATGTGAGGCGTGTCTCAACCTAACAGCTGTGGGTTTCTGTAGACTTAATGGATCTGGATTAATTGACCAGCCCCTATACCTACTTGCATGACATGAAGTTGGGTGTCATTCACACTGAGGGTCAAGGTGTCACTTCAGGTCTTACTCACTCGCCACAGCCTGCATCCAGACGCTAACATGCGAAACCTTTACTGCTGTATGCATGTGTGGATGTGTGTCTCGTGTGTATGCATTATGTGGGCATGTGTGAGGTGTGCCAGTGTGTGGGAGAGCATGATGAACACCCCCCAGACGAACCAAACGAACGTGGGGTGCCATGCGGTCAGCATAGCCTTCGTGCAGAAACATGGTCTAACCTCAGCATCCCCGGTCTAGTGACCCCAACGTCCACATAGAGTTGAAAGAGGAGGACATTCAGAGAGAGAACAACCATTAATACCACTGGTCATTGACGCTGCTAGTACCCTCTCTCCCACTAGTACCTCCAGGCCCCAATCTCCCATTGCATCTTCAGCGGTAGGGTAGACATATCTGTCAATTCCCTCAACAACATTTCAGCCTATCAATGCAGAGGTAGTTTAAGTCCAAAAATCAGGAGGAAAAACAGCAACCCATGTTGATGTCACAGAGTATAGTTTGGTTGTTCAAAGGCCATTTTTGACTAGCCATAACATTAGAAAACAATAAATTCATGGGCATCCATTTTTTGTGAGCTTGCTTCTGATAAAGTACCGTAATTATAAGGTTCCTGCTACACTCAACATAGCAACCCCGCAACAACAAATCAAGAGCTGAAATGGTTCAACAACAAGTGCCAATGAAAAGGCATACTATATTGTCATCTAAGAGTTTAATCTGGTTCAATTCAGATTTCAGATTAGTCTAGGATAAACCAGTTCACTACTGGATAATACTTTATGCATTTGAATATCGATCTAACCTTGCTCATCTTGCTCTTGCTGTCGGCCATGAGAAAAGACATGTTGTTGATCTCATTCATCACAACAAAGTTTTGCTCCTCTCGCTTGAAGTTCTGCAGGAGGTAGAGAAGGGAGGGGGGAAGAGGGGGAGAATGAGGAATAAGAAAGAAAAGGAAGAATGAGGAAGCATCAGAGATAGACTACTTACATGAGATTTGGACCAGAAGATAAAGACTTCTCCCACTATTCTGAAGAGGTCCTCTGCATCAGGATCTGGGCAGGTAAGCCACCTTGGCCTGGACCACAGAAAAGGATGTGTCAAAGAATTTATTACTGGGCCTTGAGTAAAGCCAGGTGCACAGATCATTTACAAATCAGTGCTCTTTGAAGCCCGAAGGCAGCAGCAGGCTTGTGTCCATACCTGTTGTTGTCTATGTATCTGATGAGCAGAGGGTAGAGGGCATACAGATCCCTGCAGAGCACAGCAAACTCATCACGGATGGTGCACTCTTCGTTTTCCGACTCAGTTTTCCCTTCCATGCGCAGCTGATCCTCCTCAGCCACCACCTTCCCAGAGCGTTTCTTCAGCTTCTCCATGGTGGGAATGAAATGGGACCTCAGCATCTCTGGTTTGGCTCTGCTCACTATGGGCTGGGTGAACACTGTAAGAGCACGGAAGCAAAGCGATGACTGGGGGCTGCATAGTATTTCTAGTGGTCCCAAACAGCTTATCATCGTGTAACTGATGTGTTTGATGGTGGTGACATGTGCATACAGAAGTCATTAACATATATGTCTAACACTTTGGGAGTTTAGCAGCTTTCAACCTCTATACCTGCAGGTGGATTATTTATTCTTTAACTACCATTTCAGGATTTTATATTCTCAGTTGTCAAGTTCTGAATGTTATTTCTCCTCATATATTCGGAGTCTTTCTTCCAACACACTCATTTCCTCAGCTCCCCTTTCCCCCCTCACCAGCCAGCCTCTTCATCCACGAGGCCTCGTCGATTCCTAGGTTGTTAACCACGATTTTCATGATGCTTCCAAGAAGTTGGTTGAGTTGCTCGGAGGTGACATCTGTGCACAGGCTGCCCTCCTGCTCAGGGAAGTTCTCCTCCCCTCTTTCCCACCAGCGTGGCAAGTAGTTGCATAGCATGGGTAGGGTGATCTCGATTACATGGGGCATCTCCGTGTAGCGGGCACCCGACTCTGCCAAGTCCCCAATCTCCTTCATCAAAATGTTTAGCTCAGGGATATCTGGGCACAGCTCCTCGACTTGGTTTGGGAGGCCAAGGACTGTGTGGAAAGAGTGGTGATTGAGGTTCCAAGGGTGAAGAAGACTAAGCAGCAGGGCAGGTAGGGACCAAGGGAAATTAGGGTGTGAGGATACTCACTGGTTCGTTCACGTGGTGTCTTAGTGGTGTAGACAGAGTAAGCATTATACTCATTGAGGGAAGGCTCCAGGAAGGCCACGGGCATGGCAGCAGCAAGATGACCGAGACATTCTCCCAGGGCTGGCCGCAACCTGCAGGAGACAAGACATTGTTATACTTGCTCGCAAAGACACACAGATATAGATAAAACAATAAAGCACTCACTTTTCCACGTGTGTGGTTTTGACCGTGCCCACAGAGTAGATGCTGCACATAATTCGATAACAAGAGATCTGCAAGTCGTCCACTGATGTCAAAATCCAAGAGAGGCAGGGTTACAGGGAGAAAGCTTCAGACTCTTTTTGATAACATCACCATGCATTCATGACTTTTTACCATCTATCAATTAGCAGGACACAGCACAGAAGTCAAGAAACTGGTGTGATTAGTGACGAAGAGTTTCATTTTCTGATTCTGCTGAAGATGAATCAGTGCCCATTAAAGCAGTGTATCATGTGGCACAAAAATTGGCCTTACAGTGTGAATAACCAAGAAACCAACTGCAGAAAGCCCTGACTCACAGATGACATCATCGCCAAACTGGTGCTGAGCAATGTGATCAAACAGTGTACTGAGGATGGGAAGCAGGGCGACGGTGGTATAATTGATGTTCTGGGACACGCCCTTCACCTGTAGAGAGGGAGTGAAGCATGGTGAGGTTAGTGTGGAGATCATCTGACATCAAGGATCAGGATTACGGCCTGTACTGGTGTGGGCTGGTCTGGTCTGACCTGGTTGCGGCTGGACACCTTCCCCAGCTTCAGATTCTCCACCATCTTCTCAATGTCATCCGCAGCACTCTCAAAAAATGACCGTAGGCCTGCTTTCACAATTTCAGGTCCAGACTTCATCACCGTCCTAAGGTATACCACCAAAAGTAAACGGATTGAGAAGTCTGCGAGTCTGTGCATCAAATGTATCAGATTCTGAAAAATCTGAGAGGTTTTTTTCATATGTTCTTACACTTGTGCCCATCACCGTTACCAGCGTGTTTTGTGTTGGAGTGGGAGAATGAGAAAGAATGTCACCTGGCATCCAGCGACCGTGACAGGATTAGCAGACAGTTGACCACAGCATTAGCATCCGTACCTGGGCACACATAAGGGGACACTGTTACCATGGCAGCAAGCCAGGAAGCCACTTTCTGCACCTACACCTGACATTCAAACTGCGTGTGTGCGTGCATATGTGGGCGAGTTTGTTTGCGTGGCCCCTACACGCAACAAGATGTGGTTCTATATTTACAAACTAGCTTCTGCTATGGAGCTCTGTAGGAGATTCAGAGCTGAATATCTGAGGAAAACTAAAGCAGTGTTAGTAGATGGTGGAAGTACTTCTGAACTTAACCTAGCTGTGATTACCATCAAAGAAAGATAGGTGGATATGCAGTGTTGACGTCTGTGCTGCTGGCTAAGACATGTTCCTTTGCCAGCAGGACTGGAGGTCATTAAAGACAATGAAAAAGGTGAACATCTGACACAGAGCAATAATGCACCAAGCAACGCCAGACTGCCAAGCCAACTGCAGGCGTCATGGTCACTCCCCCGTTACAGCAGTTGCCCAGAGAGAGAGAATACGTAGAGTCGCAATGGAGACTGGGGCCAAGCTCTGCATCCGGAACGCATGTGCCCCCCAGCTTCCTGTCTGCCTCTTCAAAAAGTGGAACAAGGTCCACCCCCCAAAACCATGAGCTCCAGACCACCTCCGTTTTAAGTGTGTTTCTTTAGCAGACTTTTCCAGAGAATTTCATAGCATCATCCTTCGTTCATACGCCTTTTAAATACTCAGATATTTACCAAGTCAGTTCCACTACTTTACTGGTAGCGCATTTCCTGAGAAACTGTAAAACTTCCAGCTTGTGGAATACCACAAGCCCCATGTGATACATCTCACACAGCGGTAAATGCACGGCTGGATAGAACAGGAGCACATGGTCAAGGCAGGGTGCCCTGGTGGGAGATCATCACACCTGTCTACATGGGCGTGTCCGTCAGGTGAGCAAAACCACTGCTCCATACTTAGAAGTCTGCTGCGGCTCAAACACGCTCACCGGAAGGACAGGAAGCAAAGCACTGCACAGCACAGCAAAGCCGAAATAGAGGGGGGAGGAAGAGGAGGTGAAGGAACTTCACAGAGAGGGGTGAGAGACGAGGGGGGATCAAAGAGAGACACGTGGTAGAGAGGCCTGGGTTGGGTGAGTGAGGGGCACGGGATGAAAACGTGGCGACTGTGAAAATAAGAGGGGGATGGTGGTTAAAGCAGAGGCAACACACCTCCATGCACGACTCTTACCAAACAGAGAAACTCTGTGCCTCACCAAAGCGGCCATTTTACAGAAGATACTATAGCAGGAAGAGAAAAAAAAAACACAAGACAAACAGAAAGGGGAGGGAAGAAAGAGAGGGACGGCAGGGAAGAGAGAGTTTGAGGTCTGGGCGAAGGGAGTGAAGGAAAACAAAGCGGTCATGAGGAGAGAGAGGCGGGAGATCTAGGAATATGAAGGACAGTTCATAAGAAGGAAAGAGCTGCAGCATGTTAACCGTCACGGCTGGTCTCCATCTACTGCCTGCGGCGTGGTGCCATGTTTAAAGTGTCTGAGGGAGCTGGGAGACACGGCATACGCTAAGCTAAGCTGCACTGGCACACGTCGTCCTACCTACTCCAAAAAACATCAGGAATCTCCTTCTAACAAAGACAATGGAATTGCACAATCTACGCGGAATGCCCAACATCTCAGTAGATGCTATTGAAGGTGCGATGCCATTTATTCATGCCAGCATACAGTGTTACATTTTTACAATTCAGCACCAGCGCTACACAGTAATAGTCCACGAGACTCGAGTATTACGACTGTGGCAGTCACACCATTGGGCTGAATGAACAAGTGCAGTTCAGAACCCAGTCCTGAAGGACCATATTCGGTGGGTCATTCTTACAGCCAGCCTCTTTATTACTGGCCTTTTATAGCAGTACAATGGAGAGGTCATAAATAGTAAATTATAGGACACGTATTTACAAATTTCAATCCGTGAATAAAATGTCAAAAAGTATTGCTGTAAATCCACAGTTCATCTGGGAAATATCAATAGAAATCTTAAGTTATACTATGCTTTGTAGTTACTTAATCATTCAGGGGTATTGAACTATAAAGGAATATATTTAATAAAATGATGAATGGTTATACTATATAATTATATTAAGATCTAAAAAAAAGACTATTTACAAGTACAAATGCACATTAAAATGAAAGAATTGCCAAATAAATTATGGTCAGGATTTAATCAGCCATAATGAATCCTAATAATTAAAGTACTCAGCATGCACTGCCTCTGTGAGGCACCAGACTGTGTCCTCTGCTAACCGCCCATGTGCCTGATCTGCCTCCTGTCATACCCTGAGTGTACAGCAGATGGCACTGCAGCAGGAGTTACCTGGCAATCATCTCCTTTTCCTTGTTAGAGGCATGACCGCCACTCCCCAGCAACTTGGCAGGCGTGGACAGGAAGTACATACAGTGGTTCTTAAAGTACTGGTTTATCAGCGGCAGCAGGATCTGGAGACCCAGAAGCGAGACCTTAGCAATGATTCCCCTATGGATCGGAGGGAGGCACCTGACAATAGCAAGACTCTCACCTTTGCAAAGAACTTGATCTCCTGCTCATGCGGAGACTTCTCCACCCTGCCACTGCTCACCACGGCCTCTGTGCAGAAAGAAAAGATAAACGTCCAGCCAAGATCCATGTATCGTGTCACACGTATAAACAATGTGTAAGACTATGTTCACAATAACTGAGAACCCAGACTTCACCCCCAGTCTACAACCCCTGACCTCATAGCCTAGTCACCATACCCAAGTGTGCAATGAACTCTTGGGCAATGTCCAACCACTTCAGCAATTTCTGCAAGAAGCCGTAGGCAAAGCGCTTCTCAATAGAGGAGATGTCCTGTTCCAAGTCCTTCAAGCCCCTGAAATGGGAGAGAAGGAACTCTGTGAGTGGTTGAAACAAAGGGAAAGGGAAAGACAGAGAATGAGGAAAAGGAAACGAAAGGAAAGAAAAGGAAAGAGAAAGAAAGAAGAAATAAAAGGAAAGACAAAGAATGAGGAAAAGGGAAAGAGGTAAGAAAGGGAAGAGAAAAAGAGGGAAGGCAAAGAGAAAGAAAAAAGAGGAACAGGGAAGGAAAGAAAAAGAAAGAGCAAAGGAAAGGGAAAAAGAAAGGAAAGGAATGGAAAGGTAAGGAAAAAAAGAAAAAGAGGAAACAGAAAGAGGAAGAAAAAGGAAAGGAACGGAAAGGAAAAGAAAGAAAACGGAAGGGAAAGAGTAAAAGGAAAGGAAAGAAAAGGAAAGGGGAAAAAAACTGAGGATCAAGAGGAAAGAAAGAGAAAGGGAAAGGAAGAGGAAAGGAAAGGAATGAGAGTGAAAGAGAAAAGACATAGAACTACAGTGCTATTCTTCTGTGGCAAGAAGTGTGAAGTGGCACCTGGTGACGGCATATCCATTAAACTGCAAGAATTTGAGGAGGTCCTGAGCTTTCTCTCGATCACGGGCCTTCTCCTTGGCAGTCAGGGTGTCGTAGGGCACAAGCAGGGGATGAGTGCCGCCCCCTGCAAACATGCCATCAAGGGTCAGAGCCACAGACACTGGCCAAGCACCTCTCCGTGGAAAAACCTTTACACGGACTACAGATTTGATGCAACTTATCTAAACCTTCTCAGAGTCTTTCTTACCTTTGGCCTGAAGCTCCAGCTTCTTTTTCCTGCCCCATGTGTTGTGGTAGTTCTCAGCTAACTGCTCTGCCATGGACTAGGAATCAAATAGTAGAAGAGGGACGAACTAGTTTCACTTTATCCAATTATTTCCAGAGATGTAAACGTCCTTGAAATGTAATTTTAAGTTTAAGTTTGGAAAGAGGTTTTTAATCAGATCAAGTATAAATGTGCAGTACCTGAAGCTCTCTTGATATTGCCATGCCGGTGATATCAATGGGCTGTGGATTGTAGCCTTGGCTGGGGTCATAGGTCACCTGCAACACAGACAGACCATGAGATGTAGTCTACTAACCCTCACAAACTTTGCCCCTACTAAGTGCCAACCCTTCTCCGTAGCTTGCTCCCAAACCTGTGCTGTGTGTGATATCTTGCGGGTCGTCTTCTGAATCTTCTCTTCCTCACCATCCCTGGCCTTCTCAATAGTCCACTCCCAGGCAATCATGGCCTTGATGGACTCTTTGATGGGCCAACGGTATATCTCTTTGTCCTGAGTAAGACAAGATCCATGACAGGGACGGCAAGACAAATAGCACAACAGCTTGTAAACATAATACAAGTATACAATGTACTATGGAAGTAAAACGGAAACAAAACAGGAAGCAACAGATTAAGCAGAGCTATGAATACAGTGGAGAACACTGGATATGTTCCTTACCTTCTCAGAGAAAGTCTTATATGGCCTAAGCATTGGGTGTGTTTTCGCATTCTCGTCATGCACCTCTCCATAAGTCCAGTTATTCTGAATCTAAAAGTGGAAATCACAAAAGACAGATGATAAAAAGGAGGAGGGTCACTCACCCAAGTCATTCGACATTGATCATCCCACATGTGAGCTCAAATTAACAAAATGAATATACCACAAAAGGTCTCACTACATGGACAAGGCGAGAGACGTATCTAAGTGTCATGCAAGGTCCTACTAACCTTTTCAAAGGCCCATCTGTCATGTGTGTGCTCAGCAAACTTGTTGATGAAGGCATCAAGTTTTTCAGGGATAATGGTGCTGGAAGGAACCAAAGAGATTCTGGCTTGGAACTGCCAACATTCTCACTTCTTGTGTTTTATTCTGCTCTATAATGATTTGTCTTGCCAGCCCTCCAGACCCAGAATGCTTACTTGGTGGTCTCCACAGGCCTGGGGTCAAAGTTGCCCTCAGCGTCAACAGAGGCTTTCTTTTCTGTGTGGGAGTAACTGGCGTCTACATAATCAGGGGGAATGGCACCAGCAATGGCGCAGATGCACAGCATGGCAATCTTGAACAGCTCAGAATCATATTTCTATCGAAGGAGAGATAGAGGGGATGAAAGAAGCATAAGCACAGAATACACTTATTCTGTCACCTCTCAGATTTAATTTCTTGGCAGTCCTTTACAGCAGGGTTTCCCAGTCCGGTCCTCGAAGGACCTGCAGACAGTTCAAATTTTTGCTCCCTCTCAGCTAAGCAAAAATGCGCTCCCACAGGAAGCTCGGAGGGAGTGAAAACCTCTACAGGTTTCTGCATTTGTCTCTGTGCTAATGGCTAAATTATCTGAATACCTGTCAGTGTAAAAATCTAATGTCAGTGTATTAAGAAAGAGCACAGATGTACCAATGACCTACCTTGTGTGACAGAGACTCAAATATACCCCAGAAGAGCTTGCGGGAAAGGTGTAACTCCTCTTCTGATGAAACACCAAAGTTGGCCCAGCCGTTGGGTAGGCAGTAGTACTTCCAACAACGCTCATAGTGATTGGTTAGGAGCTACAAAAACCATCATATTGCAAAAAATTAGCAAGAATATAAATGTGTGCCCATATTGATGATTATAAGAGGTTTAACACCTGACAGTGAGAGCAGGTAAGCTTGCCTACCTTGAGAGGCATTATGGCATGTGGACTAAGTATTGGAACATCAAAGACCAACCTCCTCAGCAAGTGTTGCAACATGGATGGGCGCAGGTGTCTGAGAGGCACAGAGGGAGAACATTGGTACAAAAGATTTTTCTTCACAAAGACAGGAATGTAACACTGGTCCTGGTTGAGAAGAAAAAAAAATCAAGGATATCCTGATTTTGCAGAGTTCGATGTGTCCCTGGATCAGCAAGGGAGGGGCTTGCATTTTACTTCTTTAACCAATCACAATCTTCATCACGTGACATCACCACATTTGCCTGTTTTTTTCTCATTTCTCGTTGTTATTATTATTATTAGTAGTAGTAATATCATCATCATCATCATCATCATCATCATCATCATCATGAAATAAAGGTGCACAACCTTTGCAGGTGAGCATATTCCTGTGTTTTGTCTTTGCTTATCTTAACAAAAGGCACAGACAATAAATCAGGTACTTTAGAAATCCTTGCACCTTGCCACTTAACAGAAAACACTGGTTTTAATTAATGCGGTGATGTCACGTAATGAAGACGTTGATTGGCTAACGAAGTGAAATGCAAGCCCCTCCCTTGTTGACCATGGGACATATTGAACTCGGCGAGGGAGAGACCACTCACTTGCAAAGTGACATCAAGCACTCCCTAATGACGTCCTTCTGGGCCTTTGTGAGGGCACGGCCCCGGGAGAGCCGGTAGATAGTGTGGAGCATGGAGTCAACCATGATGGCGCGGTGGTCAGAACCAGCAAAAAGCGGGGCGCACTTGGTGAGCAGAGGCAATACGGAGGAACACAAGTAGCGGTTGAGGGCCAGTGCCATCTCAGTGGTGCTGAAGGCAGCCTAGAAGGCACAGTTTGATGTGTGAGGAGGAGGAGGTTGAAATGCATCAAGGAAAACTCATAGAAGACATACTGATTGCCAGGTGTGGAATTTGAAAAACGATTTGTATATCGTAACTGTCAAATATAAAGATACCAACAGACAGACAGTGCTCAGACGATGGTTGAATAGACCACACATGAAAACACAAACTATATAGTGGCTTAAGAAGCATCAAAAATTAAGGACTCACCGTATCAAGGGAAGCTGCTGCCCTCATGTCTGGTAAGAATCCCACCTCCAGCACGTGCAGCAGAAAGTCCTGGTTGTCAATGCCGTAGACTCTGTCCAAGAATAGTACCATGGAGGCTTTGTGGTCCGGGACAAAACTGGCAGACATTTTTGGCTCAATAATGCTCTCGTCTGGATGGCAAGAGAGACAGAACCAGGAGAAAGAAGAGATAAGAATTTCAAAATGTAAAGACAAGATATCAATGGGTATATTTTGTACACAAAGAATCAACAAAGGAGTGACCCACTTTTGTGAGGCCATGTTCAGCTGGAATATGGTACAATTCGCTCGCCTACCTTTCCCGAAGCTTGGGATCTGAACGGACAAGCTGATTACACCCACTAGATCATCAATGGGCACCAGGGACCTCAGGATAGCACGGATTCTTAGTGCCTCACCCTTGCCAGCCTGGATCAGCTGTGTGAAGAATGGAGAATGCCTTCATAGCAACTCAACTTGCTTAACCGCAAACGCCACCATTCCGGCAAGTAAGATGCAACACATCAACCTCTGTAACTCACATGCATCTCAGGAGCACAGCGGCCCAGCAGGTCGATGAGAGCTGAGTAGAAGGACATGATGGCATGACCAAGATGCACACGGTTCTCCTCCAGATGTTCTCCACCAAACCTAGGAGAAGAAATTATGATACTAAATTAGAAACCAGCATCATCAAACGAATCAGTGGGGATGACAGGGAAGGGCATCTTGTTACATCTTGTTACACTGTGTTCCTTTCTTACATGAAGCGCCTGTCCTTTTTGGGAGTAGGTCCATCCCTGGCAGGATCCTCAGAGATTTTGATGGCGTCCTCTATGGCAGCTAACAGTCCAGCACCACCCTCACCCCTCAGGGCCGGGCCGAAGCACTCAGGCCTCCGGATAAGGAGACGGACCACAACATTGGCGTTCTCCTCCACGCTCTCCCCTACAGAGGAAGCCACAGCAGAGATTCCACTTGCAAACGGCTACGGTTGAGCTCATAGCATAATCTTTTCATTAAAACGGACCAATGGACATTCCATCATCTACATATACTTAACCAGTTTGCAACTGCTGGGTGAACTTTATGTTACTCTGTTCAGAGACACAAAGTCTCTTGAAAATCAAACTCTATATCTTCTAGTTGCAAAGCTATTTCTGCAGGATGACAGTGACAGTGCACTAACCATTGACAAAGACCGCAAATCGAAGGAAATCAAGGTATCGTTCTCCTCCACAAGGGTTCCACCCTATGTCAGGGTAGCCTTTAGACAGAAGGATGGGGCAACTTTGTAGGCCACAACCTGCCAGGTATGTCACAACCTGCGCAAAGAATGATGGGGAGGTGAAGTGAGTTCGGTTGCACAATGTAGGAAGAACAGACAGAGGGGGAAGGAGGAAAGGAGAGAGAGGGAAACTGGAGAAGTGAGGCAGCATCGGTCAGTGATTCAGCTGTGTGACCTCACAGTAAGCTCACAAAGAGAGGACTGACCTTCTCCAGGTCCTGCTCCTGCAAAGCCAGCGCCAGTTCATTGTTGTCAATACAGGACGCTGCTGCCACATCAAGAGGGGTAGAGCCACTCATTCCTGCAAGTGCACATCACAAAACAACTCACTGACCACAGATACAACTCCTGTGAACCTTTGTCTTATGTCAGCGTGGTCAACTGCACCTGTAAAGAACTGAGAAACGCTTAAATAACATGAAACTGGTCACAAGACCAGTCTAATGATCTTCTGATGTATTCAACCTCATTCATTAAAGTTGGGTAATAGTACAACTCATCTGGCATGGACTGTAGCCTTGTACATTTCTGTAGCAGGTCACACAGTGTCTCTCACCCAAGCCAATGCCACTGTTCTCCAGCAGGTAGCTGAGGTGGTCAAACATGGACCGCTGATTCTGTCTACTGATGCGGCAGAAGTAACACAGGAAACGACAGCAGCTAGTCACCATCTGTGGAAATCGGATCGCCTGCAGAAAGAGAACCAAGGTGAAGTTTACAGACACCAACACAACAAGAAGCATATGCAGGGATGAATAAATGGAAATTCTGATAGAACTGATGGAAGAGGCTGCTAATGTTGACTGTACCTCCCCTCCAGCTCCCAGAACATTGACCATGACCTCCATTACAGTCTCATGCATGCCTAGTGCACGCATCAGGTTGGGGTGCTGGTAGAACACCTTGTTGTTCATGATGTTTCTAAGGGATGACAACAAAGAATGAGCAATCACTTAAAGAACAGAGCCAGTCCTTGAAGTGAATATCCGGCGTTGGCAGTGCACTGACCCAATGCTCTGAATCATAAGCCTTTCTTCCTCGGGCCCCATCTGGACAATGAGCAGAGAACGGATCTGACCAAGACACTCCAAGAGGTCCATGGTGTCCTGCACGGACACGGCATTGATGGAGTACGCCTTAGGCAGCGCACGGATCAGTTCCCCGAGTGGATCGTACTGCCGGTGCAGCAGGCTGAACATGACCCGCACTAACTCTGGGTTCTGGATGAAAGACTCTTGGGCCCAGTGGATCATGGTATGTGAGATGAGTTCATGGAGGGTGGCTTGATAGAGAAGTGACAGAAGAGGAAAACCACCTTCAGTTAAAAAACATTAGGGGAACATTAAGGTAAACACTTGCTCCAAGTTAGATACGGATGCAGACATCATAGTGAGCTTTACAGGGTTTGGGTTCTTCCTCTGACTCAGGCTCTTCTTCCTCCTTTTTCTTCCGGAGGTTCTTGACCTTCTCCACCAAGCTCAGGAGCCTTCCGCGGAGTGAGGTGTCTACCTCCTCCTCTTCCTCCTCCTCTTCAAGGTGAACACCTAAGAAATAAACATGGTTGAGCACAAACATCAACCTCCTGTTTCTCACATCATATACAGCATTGTTAAATCAAGGATTTCCTGTATCACTGAAATGCAGGACTGACCACAGTGAGACAGAAGCTCCTTGTGGAATTCCTGCAGAATCTCCCGAACCTCATCAGGGACAGGACACTCCTCATCATCCGGTAAATGTCTAAAGTTTGTGAGCAGCATAACCTAGAACAGACACATATATAACGCAGTGATTGAGCAGTGATTTCCCACTTTTTTTAGGCTCTGACCATGATGACAGCAGAAAACAGTCTGCGTATGGTCTGCACCTGCTCCTGCGGAGGTGAACGGAACTCGCGGGTCCTTCGAGCAGTCTCTGCTGCAGTCATGGTGAAGGCCACCATCAGGTCATTGTACCGCTGTCGCTGGTTAGTCTGTATGTTGTTGACGAACGAGTCCGAGAAGGCGATTATGGCCTCCACACGGTGCCGGAGCTCACAGTCACAGAAGTACTGCAGAAGGGTGCACATCTGGAGAACAAGCAGCACAGGGACAGTCAGACCCTTCGCTCCAACCCTAGCTGGTACTAATGATACTATAAATAATCCATGAACTCAGCACCAAAAGTCACCTCTTGGTAAGTCTCAATATAGGGTCACCCATAGGGTGCTTCTCAATATCAAGAAGGCAAAGATTGTACTTGTCGTCTTGGCAAGAGAGGTCTTGCTAACTTGCCTCCCAAGAACGAATCATGGGATTGGTCTCATTTGGCGTGAATGCAAGTGATGCGTCCTTGATATATTGGGATGGGGCAAAAATCTGGGGATTTGTACTTCTGTTCATGAGTATTGGAACTGGTCTTTGGCAATGGAAGATGACATAAAACAGGTACGCGAGAACAGTATGCATATTGAGAAACACCCATTGTGTTATAAACCCACCTGTAACTTTACAGACTCTGGGAGTTTCATCTGGAGTAGGCCTTCCTCTGGTGCTTCCTCTTCCTCTTTTACTTCATCCTCTTTAGGTCCAGATTCCCTTTCCTTTTCCTCTTCGGTGATCTCTCCACCCTCCTTTTCTCCCTCTTCCTCCTCCACATCTTCCGTCTCTGACTTCAAAGCCTTCAATTCATCTTCCTCTTCCTCCTCTCCCACTCCCTCATCCTCCAGCTCTCCCTCAAGACTCTTGGCCTCCCCTCCCTCTTCTTCGGCAGCTGCTTCCTCTTCTTCTCCCTTTTCACCCTCTTCTTCCTCGGCCGCCTGCGCTTCCTTGCCGTTGAAGACGGAGGGGTCGATCATCTTTAGGACATGCTTGACGTCCTCATCTTCAAAAATACCCATGATCAGGAGAGTGCTGATGAGTTTGAGGATCGGCACAAAGTGGAACTCTACACTGCCCCCTACTGGGTCGCGCACAGCTTGACTCCCATCAAACACAGCCTCCGTCAGCATGCTGATGGCTTTGATCTTCAGAACCTGTAGCATGAGTCAACACATTAATGTCAGCGATCAGAACGCTCAACTCCTTGCCCCACACTGGTGGGAAAACATCTGAAGATCTGAATTTATGTTTCAGTACCTGCAGTTTCAGTTATCCATGGAAAAAAGTTCATAAGTTTCAAACTGAGTGCCAAGTAAGTAAGCTGTTGAGTACCCACAATAAGCTAAAATATTTCTAAACAAATTTTTCTCATTAGAGGTTACTTAACAGTAGCCTTTGTTTTTTCATTGTTCCTTTGTCCTTTGAGGCGAATAAAAAGCCTGATTTTGCTCCATCATCATTTGACACGATATTTTTTCAATGCTATTTTTGAAAACTAGCCTAAAACGTCAAAATCCTTTTCAATCCAGACAGTATATACTGTCTGTACTGTATAATAACATACAATGTACTTTTTTATTACTGTATTTAATATTGGTAATGTCTTACTGTGCGTAATTTATCAACTAATCTTTACTATATGAATGTACACGAAATTTATGGTATACATGGGGTCCTTGGATTGTTTTGGCTCTCCGCAGCAGGCAAGACATGATATTAAAACTATGGAACTTAAAAACTATGAAAACCCTTTCTATACCTGTTGTAACCCACGGTAAATTAACAATCGGTAATTGCCTCTTCTTTTGACTCGTACTATTCACACTACTGTACGGCAAAGTGATTTTTTTTTCTGTCCCTCTGAATCAGCAGTTTTAACGTCTGTATATCTCAGCAGTTTCCTTTCATTTTTCCCATCTGGACCAACATGCCGTGATCCCGTCTATTCGCCCAAGTGGTTACCTGCAGGGGAATTATGGGGCTGAGGGTGTAGATGTCCGGGTCAGTGTTCACGAAACCCACTGGCGAGAAGTGCGGTTTGGGCCGCAGGCAGGTTGTGAGGCCCACCCCGGGCAGGGCGTGGCCCTCGCTGTACAGTTGGATGCTGAGCGTCTCCTCCGTCATGGGCACGATGAACTCTCGATTGGTCAGCAAGCGCGCGCGCTTGGCCGATTCCAGGTGGATGCTGATCAGCAGGTCATAGCAGCCACTGCGCAGCGGCCCTGGCAGGAAGGTGCTCTCGATGGCGTACAGCAGCTGCGATTCATCCACATGGCTGCAGAGGGCGTGTGCCACGCGGTTGTTGCCCAGTGCGCACACGGCGCAGTACAGCTTTAAGGTGTGGTAGTGGAACTTCAACAAGTCCAGGCGCTCGGAGAGCTCCAGGACGTCGATGCATCTGCAGCAGACAAAACAGACAGACAGAGAAAAAGACAGGGTGATGCTTTACAGCTGGGGTGTCAAACTCCAGTCCTGGAGGGCCGGAGCCCTGTGTCGCTTAGTTATTTGCCTGTTAGGTTAGGAAACACTGATATAGCAGTAATTACTTGAAACAGGCACTGAACCAGACTATTAAAACTTTCCGGACAAGCCGGTGGGGGCACCATCATCCGCCCCTCCCCCAGCCTTGTGCCATCATGCACAGACCTGTTCTCCTCCGGGATGTGCAGGGCCATCATGGTGAGCGGCTCAGTGCATTCCACCATCCAGCCGTGCCGCTCACTGACCCGTGACACCTCGGGGTACAGGAAGCCGTTGGGCACTCGGCTCCAGATCACTGGTGTCAACATCTGGAAGTCTAGGCGGGGGGGACACTGCGGGACCGGGTTCTTCTGCTCGCTCTGGAACATGGCGGCTGAGATGGGCATGATGTTCTATGGAGGGAGGGGAGGAGGAGCAAAACCAGCGTGGGTCACTATTCAAAGGAGGAAGCTCTATTACATCCATTCTGCTTCTTAGTACAAACAACTTATAGTTGATGTGATTAGAAACAAATCAACATATTATAAAATGAAAAAGTATGAAAAGAGTGGGACAAGCACGGACACTAAAGAATAGCTGTAGTGTGGGCAGGAATGAGAAAACGACAAACCACAAATACAGAAAAGCCCCTGAGGTGCTGACCTTCAGCTTGCCCAGGTCCACCTGCAGCATGTTCTGGCTGGAAGGCACGGCGAACACGGCGGGAAACAGCTTGGTGTTGGGCTCCACCTAAAACGCACATCACGGGCTCACTGAGATTCTCTGCACAAAAACAGCCCCTACACTTCCAGAGTCACCGGGATTCTCCCTATTCACCTGGAAGAAGGTATTCATCTCCTTCCCATTGGCCGTGAAGGTCATCAGCCCAGTTGCCAGGTCGACCAGGCAGCCAATCACCAGGTCCTCTTGACTGAAGCAGGCCTGCTGGGTGCTGGTAAACTCTGCCCCCCACACCATGTAACAGTTACTCTGCTTCATGCTGGAAGAGGGCAGGAAGTAAATACCAGTAGAAGTGAGCACAGATTGAGTTTCATTGCCAAAATACTTATGTTTTGTTTGGTTACTTATGGTTAAGGTTTAGGGGTGTGTAGGGGTTAAGGTCGTCATGTTGGGATTAGAGTTTTCCCCATTGAAATGAATGGAGAGTTCCCACAAATCTATAATTACAAACCTGTGTGTGTGTGTGTGTGTGTGTGTGTGTGTATGTTTACCTGCCATGGATGTTGCCCTTGTCATCACCAACAGTAACAGTGACACAACGCACTTTATTGAGGTCAAAGTGCAGGTCGTACTGGTGAAAGTCAGGGGTCACCCAGCCCACCCACACGCCACTCGGCTCCTGTCCGGCAAAGATCCTCACAGAATAGTAGTACTACAGAGAAACGGGGAAAGTGAGGAGTAGTGTGAGCTGTAGCACCTGGACTGTTCCTGGGGAACACTAACATTTTGATGAGACTGGCCACACGTGGTGGTCCAATTTCAGTGGGAAGAGTAAATATGAATGGCTGACCGTGGTGGTGTGGAGAATAATTTCTGGGTCGTCTCGATCATCTGGGACAACATCTTGCACCAAGCGGGGCATTGTGGGTACCACAGGAGGGGGAGTGATCATAGCAGCTTTCTTGGCTTTAAATAGGAACCTGAGAAGAAAAATACCATAAAAATTGCCAAAAAGCTAAAAATTCTGCTTCTCCTCAAAACTCTAGCAAATTCCTTTATTAAAAACTGAATATTTGCCATGATCAGCTACTCTTATGCTCCTACTCACCCTGCCAACTCCATTCCACTCTGAAAACACCACAGCCATTCTCTGCATTTCCTTATTTCTAGTTATAGATTTATTTCTTACCCTTTCTTCTTGACCTTCTCTGTCGTGACGTCCTTCTCGTTCTCCGCTTTGACACCGGGGACCTCCCTGGCCACGGAAGCCTCCTTCTCCTCCTGCTCTTTGCGGCTTGCTGACTTCTTCAGCACCTCATATTCAGAGTCAGGTTCCACCTCCAGTGCCTCATCCTCAGGGATGGTGAGGGCACGAGTAAGGGGTGTGGCCCCAGCCTGAACCTTGAAGGTCTCATGGAACTGCACCGGCATGCTTAACCGCATGAACAGCATATCTGTGTTGGCATTCTGAGAGCCAAAGGTCTTGTGGGTCAGCTTCAGACAGGGGGCAGTATCCGCTGTTCCATCCACACGAGAAACCTACAAGGTCACAGAGAAGGAAAAAGGAAACACCAACCTCAAAAGAGATGGAAACATATGTGAGGATGAGGATCATGTCTTCATGCGTGCTTGACCACAGACCTCTATGTGCGGGTGGTTGGTTGGCACAGAAATAAACTGGGGCAGACTCTTGCTGAACCACATGGTAATGTCTCTCTTCATGTTGATGGCGAAGGGCTCAAAACCCTCCTGGAGGCCACATATGGAAAAGAAACGAAGGGTGCTGACATTCTGGCCCAGGTTGATCCTGCCCACCTGGGATTGACCCAAGCTGCACACGGGGATAAACCCTAAAAGAAAGAGGAGTAGCCAAGCTGAAGTCTCTGGTCAACAAGTACTTGCTGCTCCTCCATCCATCTCTCAACCCACTCCCTTAGACATGCATCTGATCTGCTTTCTCTCACCCTCCCCAATCTCAATTTCCTTGAAGGCCATCTCGGAACCAGAGTCACTTATGAGCATCTCCCCGTTGAGGGTGAACATGATGGTCCTCTCTGCCAGGTCGATCATGCACCCTACTACGTCACCCGCCTGCCACTGACGGCCGAAAGGTTCATTGCCAATGTGCCATCGCTGAGCCTGTTGGAGGCAGGTGAGAACATTTTTGAGAAAAAAAACAATAATCCAGAAGGCCATAATGAAGATAACCTGAGACTTATAATTTATGGACAGATGGGCATGGAAGTCTGACCTTGTTCCCATTGAAAACAAAAGCCAGTTCATCTGTTCCCAGCTCGATGTCGGATCGAACGCTGGGTCGGGCCCAGCCCACCCTCATCTCCCCAGCTGTCACAGCCTCAAACTCAAAGTACCATTTCCCCTGGGTCACAGCATATGACTTTTCAGCTCGGAACAGGCGCACCTTGTCAGTGTGCCCATTCTCCATACCATGGCCACCTGCAGGAGATGTAGGGAAAGACAAGAAAGGTATAAACCAAGAGAGCAACGCTAAGAAAACCTCGTAGCTGCATAAGATCTGGTAACCCCTACAAAACATAATTACAGATCCCACAATCCAAACACGGTGTGAATGAGATGATACCAGGTTCCACTCAAGATGAGCAAGACAACACCAAGGTACAGTAATAGGGACAAGCTCACGTAACTGTAAATGCATGAAGCCCCGTGAGGTTCAAATAAAAGCACCACTCACTGCTCTCCTGATCTGGAGGTTCTATGTTGTACCCATAGCCGATGAGTGTCCTCACAGCTGCACACACACTGTCCCTGTTAGTTTTCTTGGTTCGTTCATCCAACAGGTTGTACGGCACCAGGCGAGGGTTGCGCTTGTTCATAATGTCCTGTTGCACAGGCCAAGACATTTCAGTAACATTTAAGACCTTCGGCGACGGCACAAAGTCTGATATTGAGACACCACAGTACAATAAATGGGAAGAGAAAGGGACCAGGAGGCACCTGCACAATGCTGTAGGTCCAGCCCTGTCGCACCCGATCCCGTGCCCACACATTGTGCCCATTCTCAGCCAGTTTCTCCACCAGGGTGTTCTGATTGGGTGTCAGCTTGACATGACTAAGGTCCAGGGGGGCAGGCTTGTATCCATTGCTCATCATATAGCTGATGGGAGACAGACACATGGAGACAAGGAGATGGTCACCATGAGGTCCCTATAAGGCTGTGTTGACATAAGAACATAAGAAATTTACAAACGAAATTCATATCAGACCATTCATATCAAGCTCGTTTGGGGAGAACTTAACTCAGCTCAGAGTTGTTAAGATCTTATCTAGCTCTGATTTAAAGGAACCCAAGGTTTTAGCTTGCACTATACTAACAAGAAGACTATTCCATACTCTAACTACACACTGTGTAAAGATGTGCTTTCTCAAATCCAGTTTAAAATGTTATCCCACTAATTTACACCTATGACCATGTGTTCTAGTATTTAAACTAATATTGACGTAAACCTGACCTTGAGCTTCCAGAAGAGAAACAGCTGTCTGTGGAGAAGCATCATGGCTTTGGACTTTGAAGCAATGCTCACTTAACCTCTTTGCTTTGGAGTGAAATTTTACTCCACATGGAGATCAGAACTTACGTCTTGGGAAGTTTGATCTTTTTCAGGTTCTCCTCTGCCTTTTCATCCCCCATCCCCACATGGCACCCCAGAGCCAGCAAAGTCCTGCACAATCACAAGAAGGTATCATGAGGTCAAGGCTGTCGAGATGAGGCGATTCAGTTACTGCCTTGTCTTGGACTCACTTTATGGTTTCTCCAGACATTTGAAGGTTATAGTTTCGCTCAGGTTCTGGAAGGTTCTGGAAATCCACCAGGCAAGGGTGCAGCTTTTTATTGTCATCCCGGAACTGAAGGAGAAACACAGACAGTCCTGACGTCTGCATTGCAGCTATGGATGTCGGAATTCTTGTTATTGTAGTATGAATATTTCATGACAATCATTGCTGGTTCCTCACCAGCGACCTGGAGCTTACCGCTGCATAAGTCCAGCCCTGCTCGATGCGGGTCACCGCCCACAGTTCATGAATGTTCTCTGCCAGCTTCTCCCGGATGCGTTCCAGATGGGGGGGCAGCACGATCTGAAAAGACATAGTGACCATGCCAATATTATCAGGGCCTGACAAGAGGAAAACAAATGAGAAAGCGGATAGTACCATCAGAGAAGGGGTGGAATCGTGTGACCCATACCTGAATGGTGTCCACAGGATAGGGCGTGAAGGAGGTGTGCGTGAGTGATTGCATGGGACCCAGCATACTGCGGACACCATCGAAGTCATGCGTGTACTCCTTCACGGGCTCGATACGCATCCTCTCCTTAGGCAGTAAGGCCTCGTAACAGGGTGCATAGCCAGGGGGTGGGAGGAACTTGAAATCCCCATGGCGACCACCAAGAAGAAAGCGGGCTCTGAGAAGCAACAGGAAGATGGATAAGATGATTATTGTTTATTTTTTCAGACTTTGTCACACGGTGAACCACTCCTCAGACACTCATAGTGCTTCTCAGGATCCCTGTCTCCTAAATGCACAAGGCTTTCTAGCACTCTCTCCTATGCGCACTTCTTGAGACCCTCACTTAACACCCGCGGAGAAGCTGATGACGGGGAAGAAGAGGCCGTCCACGTTGAAGTTCTCAAACATGCCCTGGACGGGATGACCGTTGATGCGGAAGGATATGCTGGGCACACTGAGGTCAAGGCAGCAGCTGACAACGTCATCCGCCGCCAGAATGTGCTGGCTATGCGAGGCCACGGCGCGGGGGACGTGCCCTGGGGAGAAAAAGGAAGGAAGGCAGTCGGTGTGTGCTGTCACATGCAGAAGAAATCCTGGCCAGCCCAACTCACCTGACCACAAATGCAGGCCATCAAAACCATAGGAATAGAGGTCATCCCCAATTCCGTTGCTGCCCCAACCTTCACCCCCACCAGGGTATGGGCTGTAGCCTACGTTCATAGCCCACCCTACACGCAGGTGAGCAGCCTGGGCCGTCACGAACGGCTCCACGTAGTCAACAACCACCTCGCAGTACCACTTCTTGTACTGTGTGGAGCCTTCACACGTCCCAAGGAAGATGTTTGGTCTCATACTTAAGTGGGAGCAGAGAGATCTTATTATAAAACATCCCTGCCTGACTTTTTTTTTTTTTTATAATGTTACATATAAGAAGTACGATACGATTATATTTAGCTTTTTGAATGTACCTGGTGGCATAGTTCACTAAGTTGGTCTGCAATAGGAGGTCACGACCTGGCAGCAGGTTTTCAGTGATGAGGTTCTGATTGGACCTGACAGCCACACCATTACACACACACAGAGAGCGAAGCACGTCCAGCACCTGTGGGCGACACAGAAAGCATGTGTAGGCCAGCCAATCAGCATGCGGAGGCAGACCACATGATCATTCCAGTGGTTGACCTTGTAATTGCGCCCGTGTTTGTCCAGAAGGGAGATGATTGATTTGATGTGGTTTTCCTGGATGATGTTCAGCACTTCTGGGCTCTCGATCAAAATGCAGTACAACACCTCCAGAATCCCTGTCAAGTCGGAAGACAGATGAAATTCGAATTGTCACCTATTTACTCAGTCAACACATGCTAAGATTGGCTAAGTCTGGATAAGAAAAGCCTGTATGGGTGGTACCTCCAGAGGCTTCCAGGCGATCCAGTTTGCTAACCAGCCAATCGAGATTATCACAAAAGAGAGCACAGTTGGAGCGATTCCCTCGGATCAGAGAAGCTTTGAAAAGAGAAACAGAAATTATGAACGACCACAGCATGCTGTAGCTCCTAACGAAACATCAACAGGACACGTGAATATGCATGCAAGTGTCATTCCGGCTACTGGCGGCTTACCAAGCAGCTCGTACAGCAGGTTGACGATCTCCTTCCAATACTCGCCGGCCTCCTCGCCAGCGAAGTCCGCAAAGTGGGCAGACGTGTTGTAGACGTTAAGCCGGTCGATGCAATTCAAAACAAGGGTGATCATGCCCTGAACACGGCATTCAAAGTACACAGAGGACAAGAAAAATAAATAGATAAATAGACAGTAGTTTGCAAGGATTGTGTCGAATTGAAGTTGAGCCAATGAGCCAAACTAGTGTTATAATAAAATAAGTTATTAATTCACATTTTGCCATTAAACATTCTAATAACTAAGACGTTTCAGTACAGACCTCCTCCTGAAAGAGGTTCTGCCGGCTACGGAGAGAGCGCAGCTTGGTCTGCTTCTCCTCATGCTCCAGGTCATCTTCAGGGTAGCTGAAGTAGAAGATGAGATCCTGCAGGGACAGGACCACTCGGTCCAGAGACAGAGATAGCGGTGTGGGGTTCTTGTTTTTTGGATTCAGAGCATCCAGTTCCCTGAGAAACCAGGAGAAGGGCAAATAGAAACCAAGGGACCGTTAGAAGTGTGTTGATGCCATCGTGATCCCACAGGCCCAGTCAACACAGAGGAAAGATGCCTGTGGAATATATATATATAAAGATTGTATTAAATGTATATAAATTGTATGACAATAAAGACCAAATAAAGATCCATTACAGAAATCCTAGATTCTTGTTGAAATTGAACTTCAAACTCCATAAGAAAATTAATCATCGATCACATCAAGGAGTTTCTCTGGGTTTCTCCTGAATGCTGGGGCTCCTACTTGATGAACTGCGTGAAGAGACCCGTGGTGTTGAAGATCATGCGGGCCGCCTGTGACTCCTCCATCTGTGAACGGGAGGGGCACAGCGCGTCGTCCATGTGTCCCTCCTGGTGCAGGATGCCCTGGGGGAGAGAAGACCGGTCAGTCTGAAAGTGCTTTGTAAGCATCTTGCTACTGGAAGAGGTGTTGGTGTGACCAATAGGGCAGCCCATCCTGTGGTCTGTGTGAATCCCAATGCCCCAGTGCAGTGATGGGGACACTGTGACCAATAGGGAAGCCAATCCTGTGGTCTGTGTGGATCCCAATGCCCCAGTGCAGTGATGGGGACACTGTGACCAATAGGGAAGCCAATCCTGTGGTCTGTGTGGATCCCAATGCCCCAGTGCAGTGATGGGGACACTGTGACCAATAGGGAAGCCCATCCTGTGGTCTGTGTGGATCCCAATGCCCCAGTGCAGTGATGGGGACACTGTGACCAATAGGGAAGCCCATCCTGTGGTCTGTGTGGATCCCAATGCCCCAGTGCAGTGACAGGGACACTGTACTGTAAAAATGGTGCCGTCTTTCGGATGAGACATAAAACCGAGGTCCTGACCCTCTGAAGTAATAAAACATCCCTGGGCATCTTTCCCAGTAGGGGTGGTACGCTGATGTCCTGGCTTAAACTGCCCATTGAGGCCCTTTCAAATCTGGCTTCCTAATCATCCCCTACAACTGGTGGAATCTTTCCTGCCCCTTCACCACCTTAGCTACTGTGTGGTGAGGGTATTGGAGCAGAATGGCTGCCATTGCATCATCCATGTGAGTGCATCATAATAATTGTGGTTGAAAAGAGCTCTGCACTGTTTGAACTATTTTTTATTATATATATTTTTTCTATTTATATATTTTTTCTTACATAACTTATGTATGCACCAATACTGCCAGAACAAATTCCTATTGCATGCAGTTGTACCTGGCCAATAAAGTGAATTCTGATTCAGAAGTGGCTCCCCATTGGTTCTGTAAAGCGCTTTGGGTGTCTTCAAAAGTGCTGTATAAATGTAACATTCATTCATACACTCATTCATTTATTCATTCATTCATTTATTCATTCATGTGATGCCACTCGTGCAATCCTCAGCGCTACCCATTTCCAGCACCTCCCACCCTGGGTAGAAAGCCCCTGTTTTCCCTACCCTCCTCTTGAGAGGTCCCAGGCGGGCTTTGGCATCCACTGAAGCGTAGGTGAGCCACAGGCCCGTGGAAACATGCTGCATGAAGCACATGGACTCTCCGTACTTGATCTCTGGCAAGCCCATTCCCTCAATGTCACGCTTTGGGGCTACCTCCGTCTTCTCCTGCTCAGGGGGTTATGGGAGGAGGCCGGAGACAGTGGCGAGAGAGGAGGAGAGAGGAACGAGGGACATGAAAAATCAGAAAACAGGAAAGGTATGAAAACAACCCATTTTAATTCTGATGCCAGGACCATTTAATTGGACTGCGACACAGAGGGGAGAGACAGCAGTAGGAGAGGCAAAGTGGGCAGCTTGGACCCATGGCCACGATCCGCACCTTTGAGGCTCGGAAGCAGAAAGCTGACATCTTGGTGTTAGCCCGCTTGGGATCCAGGACCATCAGGCCCTTCTCTTCATGCAGGCACAGGTATCGGCCTGTGGTCACGTGACGCACCCGAAACGGATGCCCCCACTTCATGTGGCTACCGCTCCACCTACAGGAACGGAAAGGAGGTGGGGGGGAGAGTACACAAATATCAGCGAGAAACAAGGAACGGGGAGTGGGACTGGAAAGGTGATTATCCTCTGCCAACCGCTGGATGGGTCTCTCAAACACTCATTACCGTAACATCAATTTTCTCTCAGTTTTAAAATTATTTTGAAGACAACTGTCTTCTGTAGATTTTGCCCCTGTGGTAGTTTTGTTATATTACCATTTATTTATGTAATTAACAAAATCTTTCAACATTTTTAAAAAAAGAACAAAAAAAAACCTGAAGTCATTCTAAATGATTGTTGTGGGTTACATGCAATAAAGCTTTATAAACATTTCATCTAGTCTTGTGGTATTTGACCTTAATACTGTTACAGTAATGAGATTTTTGGCTACCTATTTGGGCAAAAAATCAAATCATTAAATCAGACCAAAAAATAATGTAGTTCTAGGGGAGCCTATCTTGTGGCCTGTGTGGATCCCAGTGCCCATAGTGCAGTGATGGGGACACAGAGCTATAAAAATGGTGCCGTTCTTCATATGAGATGTAAAACTGGGGTCCTGATTCTCTGAGCAGCCATTCTGCACTGAACTAAAAAGTTAATGAGATGTCATTTGCGCCACACAAAAAAAACAAGCCCTGTATTTCGGCGTCATTTTTATATATTTTTTTAATTGTCAGGTTGGTGAGAATGACCCAGATATTGGAGGTGAAACATCTAGCTCACCCGATCCGCAGGGGCTCCAATCTCCACAGAGCCCGGGCCTGGCTACAGACGGCCCCCCCCTCATACTCGGCGATTCTGGAGAAGGGGGGTGCAGGGATTAGGGTCAGCCATGAGACAGACACTGGGTCCAGAAAGGCAGTGCCTCAGAAAACAAACCCCTCACCGACGTTGGTCGTCCCCTTGGTCGGGGGGGGGGATGGCCAGGCACTCGTCCATGTGACCGTGGAAGAGTCTGATAACGTGTCCGCCAGTCAGGTAGCCTATGGTGTGGGGGGGGGGGGGGGGCACAGGAAGAGAGGATAGAGAGGAAATGAGGCAAAGGCTACCATGCTGGGGAGGGGTCTAGCAAGCTCACTGTGCATCAGCAGGTGGATCTTTTAAAGCAGAGCCTTTTAAATCAGGCAGCAGGCAGAGGAGGGCATGTGAAGGACATGAGCTGGTAGCCCGAGGAGGAGTCGTGTGGAAGCTGTCACACTCTGAGTAAGGGCTTCTGCCACAGACTACAGCATGGTGCACCACTAACCCTCTGCCAGCTCGCACCCCGAGCACACCGGGTTCATGTTCCACAAGGTCTGCATGAAGGAGGCGTCCACCATCAGATCCCCGCTGGCGTAGGACAGATGCTGCAAAGACGGGTTTAGTCGGACCGGGCAGAATATTCCGCCAAGCAGCTAAACGTAACACTTGTCGTACAAGAAGCCTCACCAAGTATCGCTCTGAGGATACGCTGACCAGGATGAGGTCGTCTCCCACCCGGACCTTCTCACCTTCAGACCTCTGCTTGGATGCCGGGTGGATGGTCCACCAACATGCTTCCCCTTAGAGATAAACAATCGCAAGCATTATCTGGTTTTGAAGGTTCCTACAAATGGCCACACCATCTAGTCTGGCTCTGCTTCCATCATGCAGCCACCTACCAGTGGAATTCTCCTGCAAGCCCACATCGCAGGCTAGCTTGTCCGTAAGTGACCGAGACGTGGTCAAGCAACTGAGGTACTAAGACAGAAACAAAAAAAAAAACAAAACATCAGGTCCAACTTTCAATGATTCCACTTCCATCCATGTCTTTTACATGAAAGAGAGAGGACTTTCTCAGATCCACATTCATCGTTATTTGTCGTTAAAGACTAACTGTCTCGGTATACATCGATCTCACCATTCCAGAGTGGCAGTGCCGGAGAAGAATGGCATGACCGTACAGCAGGGTGCGGTGACCCCCACCCTGGGACGACTGGACATGGAAAAGCCAAAAAAAAGGTCACCAGATGGGTAATAAACAGTCTACTAATCCCAGCTTCTACCGGTAGGAACACAAAGACCAGTGAGTTACCACAGAGCACAGGGCCTGGCAACAGGAGAACGACAAAAGACAAAAAAATTGAACGGTAATGAATTTGCGAATCACGTGACTGTAGAGAGAGAAGGGCAGAAGCTTTCAATCTGGTTAAAATGCAGATCAAATCACAGGTAATACTGACACCTCCGTATGCAAAATGTGTCTATTTCAACTATCGCACCATGGCATATTAAAACACGTCCTCAAAAATCTTTAAAAAAAAATCTTACCTTTTCTCATTGCCCAGTAGGACAATGAGTATAATCACTGCTGATGCTGTGAACAGCCTCACCCACGGTACGACTGCATACCTAACCCACCAGGACATGTGGCAAGGCGAGCCTGGGGGAGGGATTGCCCCCCGTGAAAAGCCCAGTGTGTCTGGCTATCCCTTCAGCTGACAGATGTCATCACTCAGACCACAGAGGCACAGCGGACTTATCGCTGGGCCTTGTGCAATGGGGGTCTGGGATCACCTAGGTCACTATCTACTGGACACTCTGTAGGTTAAAGCACACTGCGCTGCACAGCCTGACACTGCCTGGGTGGGTTTAATGGGGAGCTTGATGCAATCGTCCAAAGACGTGGTCTTTGGGACTAGGGGTTGAGGAGAGGTGAACCAAGTCTAGGGGGTGATGGTTGGGGGGAGAGGGGGTCATGCTTTGTTGGATAAGCAGCGGGCAGGGCAGGGATGGGAGGAAGAAAAACACAAAGACAAGAGATGAGAGCAACCAAGGAAGGTAGCAAATTAAGTGGAACACTGTCAGTGGGGAATCAGGAACACGCAGAGTGTTGGGATGGTGAGGACCAGAAATCGGCATGACAGTTATGAACAAAATGCAAAACGGCAGATAGACACCGGCCACGAGAGAGACATGGGTACCAGGAAATGTTTCTAGGACAAGATAAGGACTGCTTCAAACACTCCAAGGACAGACCTCAAACGGACACAGAAACCAGTTCAGGTGTCAGCCACGAAACCACTGAACAAACTCTGAGACAGGCGTACAGAGGTCCTAAGGGGAACTACTGTAGTATCAAGTCATAGGAGAGGACATTGAGTAGGATGAGTGAGTCTCCAGCTTCCAGAGGGTGGGGGTGGGGAGGGGTGGGGGGGCAAGAAGGTGCTTCAGGAGTGGAGACATGTGCAAAGACATACCCATTTGTCCAAATCGACTCCCTACGGTTAGCAGGATGGGAGGGGTTTTGGGGGTCAGAAAAGAAACAGAAGAGAGAAAGAAGGATCTTAAATGAGATCCGATAGCAGACGGGGCCAGAACTGAAGTTCAGGAACACCATCTCCCGAATGCCGACGGGATAATAAGCGTGACAATCACGTTGCTCACAAGGGCAAGAAAGACGGAAAAAAAATATTATTTGTATTTATTTTTATCAGGTTGACTTTGTCTTGCTGACATGACCTGCTGTAAAAAGAAAGATACATCAGGCCTATTTTAGGTGACTGAATTCGGCACCTCGCTCGAGGC